CAACTCCACTCTTAAACCAATCTGAACGTATGGCTCCCAGCTCTGGGGGACGCGAGCAAAACTAACATAGACATCATACAGCGCGCTCAAGCAAAGATCCTGAGAATTATCACTGGGGCACCATGGTATATTCGAAACCAAAACATCCACAGGGACCTTGGCATTCTCGCAGTAAAAGATGAAATAGAGAAGCAAAAAGCGTCATACAAGGAAAAACTCTCAGCACATCCAAATCCTCTTGCAAGGGATCTGACTCGGGTTTCCAGAAGAACCCGCCTGAAACGTAACGACCTTCCAACCCAGCCATAATTTGTCAGGGCCATTTTTTACTGTTTCAGTCTATATGACTGATAGTTAGGTTATAGTATAAGATTTGATACACTTATTGTTAGTCTCGTAAGGAGAAGATTCAATAAACAAAGCAAAGCTAAAAAAAAAAAAAAAAAAAAAAAAAAAAAAGAACGAAAGCAAAGAACTGGCAAGGGTTAAAAAAGGGAGTTCGATTTGTGACCAAAATTTAATTTACACAGATATTCCTTACATGCCCTCATCGGAAGGGCGAGAGAGATATTGCAGTTGAATTCGCATAAGGGAATCACTCTCGCCTTACACTTCAGTAAATTTAAAATGAACTAAGCTGTCTGTCTAAGCATTATGCACTTTGCCTTATTAAAAACAATTTCGGATTACACTTTATATCTCTCCCTTTTTCATCCTAAACGCCCCACAAACTTTGCCGAAACAGCAATAAATGCCATTTACATACTATATATACAATTCGTTATTGGTACTAGTAGGCATATTTTCAAAAACAACGATATATACAATGGTGGCCATAAGTAACCATAAGCCATAACTGCAAAAAGAATTCTTCAAAAATAATTTTTCTTCTATTTTTAATGATTTTTTGAAAATGACTAGAAATACGCATTTTTTTTCTCTTTTCCATACAAATTTTTTCCGACATTGTCACCTTCAAAAAATCATTAAAAATAGAAGAAAAATTATTTTTGAAGAATTATTTTTGCAGTGTCTATTATTTTTGATTAAAGAAACTTTTTGCATCCAAAAATTTTAGTTTTGAAGCCGAGGGAAAAGTTTTTTTTTTTTTGACTTTTTGTTTAAAATGGCCCTTTTCAATAAATATCGAATGAGTTGAGAAAAGTATGGTATCATTCAAACGGCATTTGAATTACCTTTCCATTGATACCAAAAGTTAAAAGAAGCAAGTTCAGGTTTCGAGTATATTTCACTTTTATTTTGACAAAATACTTACGGCCACCACTGTAGGGTGCTTTTTTCTAAATACAAAAAACTAAGAAGACCGATACTTTTATTACTTAAACGTCTGTAAAAAATAATATAGTTATAAGGCATGTTTGGGCATGCCGCAGCCTAACTCAAATCTTTAAATTTCAAATCTTAACGTAAATTAAATTCTCGATGTTGGCTTTTGTTTTTTTCTTTTGTATATGTAACTCTAATAACTCCGATTTAAATAAAGGATCAGTTCGGATATATAAAGTAAGGCATTTCAAAAACGAGAAGACTTTCCTGCAGAAATCACGTTTTGGCATAAAAATCTAAAACAAAAAAAAAACAAGAAAGGAAGCTATTTAAAGCAAGCCGAAGCTGATAAAACCTTGCAGTAATCAAATTTGTCGAACAAAATACATAAAACATAAACAACATCGAATATATGACGGTTTATCTATTAATTTTCAATATTTTCGACGATTGTTTATATGAAAGGTATATTATATAGTTGCCCGATTTCTATGAAATTTAATACGAAATTCGAAGAGTCGTTAAAAATGTCTAAATTCCAAAAATCATGAGAATCTGATGAAAAACAATGATGTTAGCTATATGAGTAGTCCGATTTTTAAAAAAATTTTCTCGGTTCAAGGGAAGTTAAAAAAGTCGATGTTTTAAAAATCATGCTCATGAAAAAAAAAACAATGACGTTATAATTTTTTTTGCTATTATTTCTATACATATTTTTATACCCTTGCAGAGCAAAAGGGTATTATAATTTAAGTCAGAAGTTTGCAACGCAATGAAGGAGACACCTTAGACCCCATAAAGTATATATATTCTTGATCAGCATCACCATCTGAATCGAAATATGTATGTACGTCTGTCCGTTGGTCCGTCTGTCCGTCTGTCTGTTTCTATGTAAACTAGTCTCTCAGTTTTAAGGGGGGCTTCTCATGTAAAATTTTAAAAAAATCGAAATTTTTTTTTTTCATAAATCGATAGAATAACGTCTTGAGAGTATATTCCCGAAGTTTTATAACTCAACTCTCAATATTATGGAAAATATCAGTGATTGAACGAGCGCGCTCAAGTTCAAGACCCACACTAACTCAAAACTTTAAATCGTTTTTTCTCAAAACTATGTTTTAAAAAACGCGGTACACGATTACGGAAAAACTACTGAACCGATTTTTGATTTCTAAAAAGTTTTTTGCAGATTATACATTGAACGAGTGCGTGAATATCTGAAATTGTGAAAAAAAGTTATTTTATACACTTTTCAGCCCAATTCAGCAAAAAAAAAGACGAAAAAATGGCACTTTTTTTTTCAAGGCGTGATTTCAATATTTTAAAATCGAATTTTTTGAAGTGGCTGACATTCACGCACTCGTTTGAACCTTGCTGCATACAAAAATTTTTTTTTTTTTTCAGATGAAAACTTTTTGCTCCACACTGTACCGCAATAAGTCCCTCAGCCGCGTCGAGCCACACGCGACCTTGAATAAGTCCGCCATTTTGTTTTTTAGAATTTTCAAAAAATGTTTTTCTCATACTTTAAACATGTCTTCAAATATGTGCAAAAAATTATTCGTGTAAGTTTTCATTTTCCAAGTGAAAAAAATTCCCAAAAAACCACTACTTTTTGGCATGTTACATGAGAAGCCCCCCTTAAAGCTATCTTGCTGAAACTTTCCCAAAAGTTGTGTAGCTATTGCACGCAGTATATAAGTCGGAACGAGCCGGATCGGCTGACTATATCGGATAGCTCCCTTACGAGAGATTGAAAAAAAAAATCTCACTCCGTTGTTTTTGATCAGATCGACTTGATTTCTTTCAGATGGCGTTTTATAACTACTATTGAATTTCGATTTAAATTTTATCGAAATCGGATAACTCTATCACATAGCTCCCATAGGAGAGGTCAACAAATATATATAGAATTAATGGAAATTAATTGATAACGTCATTGTTTTTCATCACACGACTATGATTTTTTATACCCTTGCAGAGCAAAGGGTATTATAATTTTGGCCAGAAGTTTGCAACGCAGTGAAGGAGACACCTCAGACCCCATAAAGTATATATATTCTTGATCAGCATCACGATCTGAGTCGAAATACGTCTGTACGTCTGTCCGTCTGTCTGTCTGTCCGTCTGTCCGTCTGTCCGTCTGTCCTCCTGTCCGTTTCTGCCTAAACTAGTCTCTCAGTTTTAAAGCTATATTGCTGAAACTTTCCCAAAAGATGTGTAGTTATTGCACGCAGTATATAAGTCGGAACGAGCCGGATCGGCCGACTATATCGGATAACTCCCATACAAGAGGTCAAAAAAATAAAGGATAAAAAATTATTACGCCGTTGTTTTTGATCAGATCGACTTGAATTCTTCAAGATGGCGTTTTCTAACGGTTATTAAATTTCGGATTAAATTTTATCAAAATCGAATAACCCTATCATATAGCTGCCATAGGAAAGATCTAAAAATATATATGGAAATAATGGCAAAATAATCATAACGTTGTTGTTTTTTATTCCACGAGCATGATTTTTACAACATCGACTTTATGAACTACCCTTGAACCGAGAAAAAAATTTCATAAAAATCGGACAACTATATCATATAGCTGCCAAATGAACAATAGTCGAAAATATGGAAAATTAATAGAAAAGTCGTCATAGCTTCGATGTTGTTAGCCTTTATGTATTTTGTTCGATATGTTTAATGACTGCAAGGGTATATAAGCTTCGGCTTGCCGAAGCTAGCTTCCTTTCTTGTTGAGTATCAAGTTTTTTAGCTAGCCTTGATTTATAAAAAAAATTTCATAAAAATCGGACAACTATATCTAATAGCTGCCAGAAAAGATCGAAAAATCTATAAAGAATTAACGGAAATAAAATGATAACATCGTTATTTCTGATCAGAAAATTATGATTTTTGGAATATAAAGTTTTTTAACGACTCTTGAATAAAAAATCAAATTTCATCAAAATCGGACGACTATATCATATATGTAGCTGCCATATGAACAATAGTCAAAAATATGAAAAATTAATAGAAATGTTGTTTAGCCTTTGTGTATTCTGTTCGAAATATTTGCGGACTGCAAGGGTATATAAGCTTCGGCTTGCCGAAGCTAGCTTCCTTTCTTGTTAGATCTTTCCTATGGCAGCTATATGATAGATTTATCAGATTTTGGTCAAATATTATTCTAAGCTCGATAGTAGTTGAAAAACCCCATCTGGGAGAAATCAAGTTGAATTATAAAAAAAATTTCATAAAAATCGGACAACTATATCATATAGCTCCCATAGGAAAGATTGAAAAATCTATACAGAATTAACGGAAATAAAATTATAACATCGTTGTTTTTCATCAGACAGTCATTATTTTTGTAAATTAGACATTGTTAACGACTCTTGAATTTAAAATTTCATTTCATCAAAATCGGACAACAATATCGCTGTCATATGAACAATCGTCGTAAATATAGACGATTAATAGAAAAATCGTCATAGCCACGACGTTGTTTAGCGTTAATGTATTTTGTTCGACATATTTGAAGACCCCAAAAGTATATAAGCTTTGGCTTATTGCTAGCCGAAGCTATCTTCGTTTCTTGTTTTACGGCCTAATTTTTTGCTATAAATGTTACGGACTAATTTTGTGCTAAAAATGTTAGTATAAATTGCTTTAGAAGCTGCAGTTTAAAAAGTAGTTTAGACATAAATATTTTTAATTACCTTTGTGTTAAAGTAGGTTGAAGGTTTATAGTGGTCAATATTAAAGGAATGAATTCAGATACTTCTTGATGTACAGCGTTTTTATATATTTGGTACATAAGAACAACAATTATTGGGAGTTCCTGTAAAACTTTCAAAGATAATATTCCTCGCGGAAGAAGATTATACTGAAAAAAATAAAAAAAAGGATGTTAAATAATTAAATTGGTTGCGGATTGAGCTTACAAAGTAATAGTGACGCTTAAATAATAAACTAAATTAATGATTTTTATACCTTAACAATGGTTGTTACTTTTTTTTTTTTTTTTTTTTTAGAAGCTTACAACCCAGTATAGAACACTTCGAACCCAACAAAAATAAGTTTCTTTTTTAAAGTGTATAAATTTCTTAATCGCAATATCCGAAAAGACAATTAAAACTGAATAGATATACCCTGCAGTTCCAAAAGTGCCTTGTCGCCGAGGAATTGTACGATGACTCATTGGTGACAGCGGAGTAAGGTGGGTGGTGGTGACTCACGAATGACACTTCAAGAGACTATTTATATGGGATGTCGACTTTTCGTATACAAGACGCTCTCGATGAAACTTTTCCCCATATCCGCGAACGATTCATCGGTGACTTATACGAATTTTGTACGGAGAAAATTCTTATAAGTCATTAATGTGTTCGTTGGTGGCATGAAGGAGGATACCCTTTGTGAAATCACCAATGAACTTCTAAAAATGTCATTCCCAAGTTCATATGAAAAACAATCTTCTATATATATAAAAGGACGTCGTGTGGAATTGGCTATCTCGACCCACCTGGATCTATTGTTACCCCTATCTGAGCTTAAAGCTCACCCATCAACCCGGCACCTCCGAAAAAATCAAGAAGCTTTGTTGGGTCGATGCTTCCGGAGGTCCCAAGTGTAAGAGACCGGGAACCGAGGGTTCTACTTCTCAGGCTACTAAAGGCTGGGCATTCTGAGATTATGTGTAGGGAGGTTTCGCCCTCACTATCACAGAATCTGCACATCTTGCTGTTAACAATCCCTATATTACATAGGTGACTCCTTAGTTTGCAATGTCCGGTTAGTAAACCGGTAATTACCCTGGGTGAGTTCTTTCCTAATGGTATAAGTTACTTGAACCTTTTTATGTCATAATTGACGATGAGGATTTTGGCTTGTCTTTTGCCTGTGGTGTTCTCCCAGCAGGCTTACCTCATATGTTCCTCGTCCTTTCTCAGATAATCTTTGATTGTGTGTCTGCATATGCCACAATAAGGCTCGGGTCCTATAAGGGGACGTTCTGCCCCTAATTTAGCTAGCCTGTCGGCTAGTTCGTTCCCGGATATGTTTTTATGTACTGGGATCCATCTTAACTTAAGGATTAACCATATTAACAGAAGGTTTAACTTTTTTCTTACTTCTCGAACCAGCTTCGAGGTGATTTTATTACTGTAAAGTGCAGTAATTGCCGCTCGCCTGTCCGAAAGGATAGCAATTTCCATGTTTGTGTACCCTCGCTTTATGTTGAGCTTCGCACACCGTCCTATGGCACATACCTCAGCTTGGAATATGCTGATGTATTGGCCTAAAGATTCATGGTACTTGATTAGTTAGGGACCCATCCGTATACCACGCTATGGTGTGACTTGCCATGGAGTCCACTCCCTTCATGGTGGTCCACTTTTTCTTTTTGCTTAAATGAGCGAAGAAATTCTTTTCGAAAATGATTTCTACTGCCATTTCGTCCCTGGGAAATGAACTCAGGGGAAGTTTGTAGCATATGCTGGCGTTTTATGCAGTAATATTATTTGATTTCGCGTGCTTTGAGGTAGGGGAATTAACTCACTCAAAACTGACAAGATAAAGAAGAAAGAAAGAAATGGTTATTAAACGATCGACAATAGGTAGATAAAGAAAAAATACGATTCTAAAACAATTTGACTTGAATGTTGTTGCTGTAGTTGTTGTTCAGCAACTTGCATTAGCCCACCCAACCACCTAGACCATTTACTCCGTCTCCAAAATGATGTCATTCATTAAATCGTCCCTATGTTCAAGTCGCTTCTTTTAACATTATTGTTGTTCGGCATGGCCCCACGGTAAACGCTTAGCAGTTGTTAATTTTCAATTTACACAATTTATTCATAACAATAGTTCTCCATCACGATTGTGGTAGCGTTTAAAGATAATTCCTATAAAAATATTTAATTTAATTAGGCTTGATATTTTTATTAATTTTCGCACAAAACCTTAAAATTTTCTTTTTTTTTTATTAATTAATGCGCGCAGTGAGAAATCGTGCGAATGGTCTGTTGACCAAGTATTAGGTTGTTTGGTAATGACATACCGGTTTCTTTATTAACTTTTGACGACGATTTAAACATAGTTAGCGTTGTCCGATTTAAGTGCAATATGTCGAAGAGAACGATGATTTTCTGTCATTTTGATGGTAACTTGTATATGCCTCTCCTAAAGAAGTCCTTGTTCCTACTGGCAAAAAACTCGGCGATTCGATTTTCAAAATCCTCCCTTGAACTCAATTTTTGTCCATCGAAAAAATTTTGCATGGCCAAAAACAGATGGTAATCGCTTGGGCAATGTCCGGACTATAAGGTGGATGCATTAACACTTCCCAACCAAGCTCCCGTAGCTTGTGACGCGTCACCAGAGATGTATGGGGCCTGGCGTTGTCATGATGGAACACAACGCCCTTACGATTCACCATGGCTGGCCGCTTCTGTTCAAATGCAATCTTCAATCGCTCCAGTTGTTCACAGTAGAGGTCAGAATTGATGGTTTGGCCATAGGGCAACACTTCATAATGGATAATTCCTCTGATATCCCACCATACACTCAGCAACACCTTCTGAGCCGTCAGTCCTGGCTTTTCCACCGTTTTCGACCAGGATCTTTAACGCTTTATGTTGTCATATGTGATCCATTTTTCATCACCAGTGACTAACCGATCCAGAAATGAGTGGAGTTTATTACGGTGCAACAAAGATTCGGAGATTGACACACGGTCGAAAAGGTTTTTTTGGGATAACTCATGAGGCAGCCATACATCGAGCTTTTTTGTTAAATTTCTCGACTTTAAATGCCTATGGACGGTTTCCGTGCTTAGCTGCAGCTCCTCTGCGATGGTTATAAAAGTCACATGACGATCCACTATTTCCATGATTTTATCCGTATCAACGGTCTTTGGTCGTCCGGAAGGCTTTGGTGTTTCGGTATCAAAATTGCCACTTCGGAATCGCCTAAACCACTGTTCGGCGGTTTGAATCGAAAGTTTGTTATCTCCTAAGACAGCAATAATCTGTTTGCGAGATTACGCAGCAGTTTTTCCCTGTGCGAAATAAAATTTCAAAATTGCCCGAATTTCTGCGTTTGTGAACTCCATTTCAATCGATTGTAATTTTTTAACGTGGAAGCTCATGGAAAAAAACTATATGTCATTTTAAATGACATGATCTTTTCAGATTTTGGATTTAACAACGTTGACTGACTGAGTCTTGTTTATTGTGCGTTCTCCATCGAACTTAGGGTAAATCAATAACACGTGCACCATGTTTGCTGGTCTTATTTCGTAAGTAATCGGCAAGTTTTCGAAAGAGAGAAACGTGTTGCAAATAGGTAATGCTTACATTGACTACCTTGACCCAACTGGATCTATTGTACCCCCCTATCTGAGCTTAAATCTCACCCTTCAACCCCGGTTCCTCCGATAAAGTCAACGAGCTTTGTTGAGTCGATGCGGAAGAGACCGGGAACCGAGGGTTCTACTTCTCTGACTGCTAAGGCTGGGCAGTCAGGAATTATGTGTAGGGAGGTTTCATCCTCGCTACCGCAAAATCTGCATGTCTTGCTGCCTACAATTCTTATTTTAAATAGGTGAATCCTTAGTCTGCAATGTCCGGTTAGTATACCGGTAATTACCCTGGGTGATTTCTTCCCTAGTGGTATAAGTTTCTTAAACCTCTTCATATCATAATTGACGATGACGGTTTTGGCTTGTCTTTGGCCTGTAGTGTTCTGCTCGATTCAGTAATTACTTTGGATATACATACTTGCATTTACTTAGACAAGTTCAACTAAATAACACTTGATTTTTGTAATCAAAATGAATTCATTACTGTTGTGAAATGAAATAAAAATGTTCCTTTTCATATAAAATATATATATATATATATAGATGTCCTGTGTCCGCTTCGCTGGTCAACACAATTTAACAACATAATAGTCAATGTTGCAACATTTTTTAAATATAATATATATAAGTATAGAAAGATGGTGATTTAACACTTTTCCAGTTTGACTTTTCCACTTGCGCAGCACAATCCAGCCGTTTCTCTTTTAAACTTTAACGCACTGCAATATCGGTATATAGTCGCCATTGGTCCAATATCTAAATTTTCATTATCACTGTAGTTCGCAGTGGGGTCATATTGGAATGCCAAGCGATTGAATGATGCCAATGATCTCCATGTGCTCATTTGTCGTTCTTCGCTTAAGTTTTGTGAATATACTTGGTGCTGGCTTGGATGTCTGCGGCCAATGTTTGCACGTCGTCCTCTAAGCATTTTGGACTATGGACAGAGTGGTGAATTTATCCTCAAATCCACGATCCACAGAATTTTCACAGTGTTGAACTGACAGTGTGTTAAATTGAATAAAAATTCTTTTTTTTCACAATTTCACAGTGAACACACTACCCGTGTCGGGTCATCCAGCCGCAGCAGATAATTAGGTTCTCTTAATGCGCGCTCTTATTTTATCTGCATAATAATCATCGCTCTCTATCTCTATCATTCTATTCGCTCTCTCGTTGCTTGTTGGCTTCTACTCTGGGTCTGAAATTGTCTGATCCGTTGTAATTCTAACTTCTTCCTTTCGATCTCGCGGACCATTTTTGTTAATCGCTTCTGCTAAAATAAATTCGCTGCCTTTGCAGAAATCGAACTCTAAATTTTCGTGTTTTTATTTAAATAGCTAATGAAAAAGCTTATTAGCTCAACATTTGGAGACCCCGACTTGATTTGTGCATAAAAATACCCAGTGCAAGTCACAAAAATTAATTCATTTTACCAGGCTGCATATCTCACTTGGTGTTGCAGCTTCATTGTGCATTGGCCGGCCATAAACAATACCAACGTTTATAAATTAATTTGTGCA